CTTGTAAAGGTTTAAAGTGGGCAAAACTGTATGTACACACATGTATGTGTTTGTATGTACAATCACACATAAAGCCACATCTGGGGTGTGCTTATATGTAGTAAAATAAAACAGAAATGACATGACTGACAAGGAGGAAAATGCAGGAAAGGGAAGTTGATACAGTCCGAAAGGCAGACAACCTGAAGTTCTAAAGTTATATATGTTTTATTTTTTAAAACTGGGTAATGGCTCACAAAGGTTGCTTTGGTTATTATTTGAATTAATCAGCTAGATTTTTATATATTAACTATTTTCATATGCAAACATGATCATATTCATGCTAGAAAAATGATCAAGCCTAATACACAGCCCTGGAAACCCAGTTGCTCAGAATGCTAACACAGGAGGACTGCAGTTCCATGCCTACCTTGGCTAGATAGTCAGCTCATGGCCAACCTGTACAAAATAGGATGTAAAAACAGAGGACAGGGAATACAGCTTGTGGTGGGGTACTTGCCTAGCACACATAGAGGTCCTGTGTTCATTCACAGTACCACACATACAAAAAGAGAAAAAATGAGTTAAGGGTTGATGAGATGGATTAGCAGGTAAAGACACCTGGCAACCTGAGTTCAATCCCTGGAAACCACAGAGTAGAAAAGAACTGACTCCTGCAAGTTGTTCTCTGGCCTCCACTTGTACCTTGCAGCATACAGATACATACACACACACACACACACACACACACACACACACACACACATAAATGTAAAACTGAAAACAAAAATCAAAACCCAGAAAAATGGGTTAACATAGGATAGATTCAATAATCTCAAAGAGTTTTCTCACATCAATACTACAGAGGACAGTCAACCCCAAGCCTGACCCACAGACTTGATGCTTGTGACCATGGTCATTACATTTTCCAGATTGGTCATTGCCATACTTGTCTGCTATTTACTGTGGCAACAGAAACGAAATGTGCCCACAGGAACTGTGTGCATGTGAGTGTGTGTGCAACAGGAGTGGCCATTCAGATGCTGCTGGGGAATCAAGCAGCTTGTTGGTGTTCTTTTAAGAGTCTAGTGATGATTTTTATAGTGTACCTTTTTTTCTTCTTCTTTTGCAAATTTTCTGTTCAGGTCTTGGACCCATTTTTTGAATGAGTCCTTTCTTTTCTTTCTTTCTTTTCAAAATTCTTTGACACTCTTTCCTGTTCTTTATATATTCTGGATATTAATCCTCTGTCAGATGTATGGCTGGCAAAGATTCTCTCCCATTCTGTACCAGGACAGACATTCGTTGGAAAATGCTCACACGGGTAGTGGCTCTAGGAATAGCATTCTGGGAGGCTTGGAAAGCCAAAATGTGAAGAGCAAAAAAGGACCCAAGTGCTTAGAGCTTGAGAAGCTGCCTGGGCTAGAGGAGGTGGCTCCAGCCACAGCTGAGATGATGAAGTGTGAGGCACTAAATGGAAAGGAAATTCGGAGGACAGGGCCATCAATCATGGCCAAGCTTATCTTCTGACAGAGAGGGACTCCAGGTTCCAGATGTTGCATTAAAACGTAATGTTCCCCCTGGGAGTCACATGGCAGGCTTCCCTGAAGCATCGGTTTCACTCAGCTAACTAATTATGAGAAAATGTGACATTGGTATTTCACTTTTCCTACAGGGACAAATCATTCCCAGCAGGAGGGAGAAGTTGTTATTTTTTTATTCAGTTTTCTTTTGTCATTAAAAAGAAATTACTTACACAGCAGTAAATAAACTCTTGTTAGACAGAAGGAACTTTTCTCCCCTCTCAATAATTCTGTCAATTTACCTTAATGCTGACAATCATTTCTTTGTTTTCCCAGAAATGTAGTGAAGTTAAAAAGAAAAAAAAGAAGGCTAGCTTAGATATTGAATCTGGGTTTAAATTAGCTCTCCCACTTAGTAGCTATGTGATAACAAGTCAGTTATTTAGGGACTTGGTTCCCCAGCTACAAAAGTTAGGATGTTGCAAGCCTTGTGGGCTGTTGTCTATTAACAATGGAACAGGATAACGAAGTTAAAGCGTGCTTGCACAGTTCTGAGTAAGTGCTCAATACATCTTATCTTCTACTCTCAAAGACCCTAATACTGTGTTATGAACATAAAAATAATGTATGTGACATCGATGCCTAGTGTTGGCAATCTTATTTGACCACTCATCTAATCCTGAACCTACTCTTTACTTGTGGGTCAAATTATGTAAAAGACATTTGATTCTTCCTCGGTCTGATGTAAAAATAAAGGTTGCCAGTGAAAAGTTACTGTTTATAGGTAAAGTTAAAAGACTTCTCTCTGTTGGCCACTATAGTTTTAAACTTTTCTAGGCTTTCTGTTTATTTGTTTTGACAAGGAAACTTATTACATTTTCTGTGCTGGACCCCAAATTTTAACTTTCCTGCCCCCGCCTCTTGAGTAGCTGGGGTTGCGTGCATGAACCAGCACACCTTACCTCTATTCTATGTGGAGCTAACATCAACCAAGCTACACTTCCTCTCACTCTGCTTGGATGGAAGAACATAAGGATGTGTGGTTTGGGTGCCTGCAACAAGCTGGAAACTTATTTCTGCAGCAGGTATGAAGAGCCCCAGTGCACGGACAGGCAGAGTAAAAGTGAAGGAGTGGAGTGGCAAATATATTTACCCAAGTGCTTTCTGAAGGCAACCTGTAAGGATGGGAAGCAGCAGAGCTGCGGGGCTTCCCAAGTTAGATTTCTCCAAGAATGAATTTGTTTCAGAAATAGCCGAAGGGAGCAGCTGTTACAGAAGGAAATGGAATGACTGGTGGAAAAGGAACAAAAGAGAACAGTGAGAGGCCCAGGCTTTCATATTCTAGTTTCATAATCCATTTGCCGATGTGCCTCAACTCTTCTAGAATAAATTGGAAAAACTTGATCCACCTCTCTTACAGATGCATGACGATGTCGTTCCAGCAGACAAATGTACGCAAGAGGGGTGGTGTGAAATTGAAGACGTTTTATGATGGCCACATTAAATACTAATTCACCAAATACATAAAGGCAAGGAAACACACAGTGTGTACTAGATAGAAAACCCTAGTAATAAGGAAACATGTAAAATATATTTCCCTAAGGATGCAGACTAGTGGATGATGAACAATTAGGTAGCATAGGTAAATCAGCACGCATGTTTAAACTATTTTTAGAAGTTGCAGGAGACAAAGAGGTATAACTATATAATGCATTTGTTATAATTCACCAAAACATAATACTCATCTAATTTGCATAGTAGTTCCTCAACTAATCACATTTAATAGTTGTTAAAATACTCTTACTTCTAAAGAGCAAGTTATTTGGGCAGGGATCATCTTTCAAGGACCCTGACATATGCCTAGAGATCTCTCCTAAGCCCTTAAGAAGTCCTAGTGGATTGCAGAACTTTAATTTAGAAGCCCCACCCCTTGAATAGAGGTTGTACTCTTATGGATAGGAAGGCAAAAGAAGCCGAAGATTATTAAGGGTAAAAATAGTTCAAAATAGAGGCAAACACACATTTCTAATTTATCATTCAGACATGGAAGCCGAAGGGCTTACAAATATACAATCAAAATCCTATTCATACCAGCAACAATCAGCAAAATAGCATGCAATAACGGTTCACCATTAGGTGGTTGATTACCTAATTCGGACTTAATGGGCCTTGAACACTATTTTCCCTACAATTTTTTAGAGAACATGACATAACTTTGTTCCAATATTAGGACAGACTTCATAATGCAGCAGCAGGAGAGACCCCCCTCTCCATTTCCTTAATTCATTCACTTAATGAATACATTTTTAATGTTTGCTTGGTGTTGGACACTATATCAAAGAAATCCAGTCTGAAGAGCCAGCTAAGGAAAGCATCAGATTCGTGTGTTAATGCTTAGGAAGAGATATGTCACAATAAGTGAACCAGAAAGCTATCGGGAAAGATGAAAAAGGGTGAGCAGAAACCGTGTACATAAAAAAGAAGTCATTTCCTTCTAGGGAACAGCAAGAAAGGAAGTAGGAGATGCAAAAGTAGATAAAAATTAAAAAATGGGGGATCCAGAAACTAGATACATAATCATAGGCCTGGAATGTGGGTTATTGGCAGGGGATGGGGAAAGGTGGAGGATAAAACAATGAGCAGTAGAGGAAGAGGAAGATTCCATCCTTAGGCCTATTAGACCTTCTTTTCAAAGGTGTCAAAAAGCCAACCACAAGTTTTGATCTATTGCAAAGTGTCCATCCTATATGTGACAGGTGTTATGGACACTGTCACTTGGAAAGCAGTACTCTACAGGTGTAGAACACCTGTAGAGTTATGTTTATAGGACAATCTTAAAAGTTCAAGAAAGAGCCATCAACAAGCCTGAGGCTAAGCCTGAATACTGCTGTTTGTGAAGTATCGTTCTATGATATGATGAACTCATTGTAGCCACCTGACAAACAATTTGAGTGACTGCTGGAATAAGTAAACAAAGGTTAGAGATGACATAATCAGATGTCTTGTCACCCTGACTGAGTAACGGCTTGGTCCATCTCAGACGTAAAGCACTCTGCCGATGGCTGTGCAGAGTTGCAGCCTCACCGTCTGGAAGGAACTTGGGAGATATCTCCTATAACAGCTCCTCATTTTAGAGGTAGAAATCAGACTTACAGAAAATATATGCTTACCTAGAAAACAGTACAACATTTGTGATGGCTAGACAGAAACCAGGCAGAAGACATTAACATCACAATGCTTGTCAACCAAAATGGTTAGAAAGGATTTGAAAAATAATACCAGATATCAAACTCGGTTTCTGTGGATTATGTTTAAGTGTTTGACAACACACACACACACACACACACACACCCCACCACCACCACCACCACCAACAACAACAACAACAACAAAAACACTACAGTATCAACATCCTAATTTTCTGCTCTGACAATGAGGTATAAGAACCAGGAACAAATTTCCAGTGCAGAATTTAGTATAAAAATGACATGTTCTTACCATGATCTTCTGAAGAGACAGGTGACCTAAAAAAGATAATATAAACATGGTAAATATTTGATATATGATAATGATAATAATATGCACACATGATTTTACAGAAATTATGTAGGTGGGGCTGGAGAGATGGTTCAGGTTAAAAGCACTTGTTATTCCCGCAGACAACCCAGGTTTGGGTCGCACCATCCACATGGTGGCTCACTGCCATCCTTAAACCTAGTTCCAGGTGGTCTGAGACCTTGTGGCCTCCATGAGTACCAGGCACACACACGGTGCACATACATATATGCAGGTGAAACATTCAAACACATAAAATAAAATATAATAAATAAGTCTTAAGAAAAAGTCAGTTAAGGAGAAACTCAGTATAGGAGGCAATGTGATTAGTGTACTTGCTAAAAGACATCCTAATTACTACAGCTTCTATATTATCTGGACTGGTTGAGTATTATGGGTTACTATAATGTCAACAGCTTGAGCATGGTGTCACAGGGCTGAAAAAATTTAATTAAGTCTGAATTTATCTTGAAAGAATGAGAATTTGTTGAAATATGTTATTATCAAGTGAAACCTAATGTCCAAGGCCAAACACTTAGAACAAATCCAGGAACACAGATGTGTGCTAAATTTTATGCCCAAAGGGGCAGGCTTAGATATTTTAAAAATGAAACAGAAGTAAAAGAAAATGAATGCACAACTATCATCATGTTTTGTTTACATTCTTCATGGAATTTAATGTTTGCATGAACATAAGACAGACCTTCTGTGCGGTGGCCTAATATTGCCAAGTCTGAAAAAAAAAAAAAAAAAAAAAAAAAAAAAAAAAAAAAAAACCCTGGGGCCTCACACATTTAATAAACCAATAACTTTTACATATCATCTATAAATTTAGCTCTAATTATAAGTCAGTTTTCAAATGGAACATCACATCAACCATAAAAATATTTCCCCTCAGTTGACACCTGATTGAGATACCTTGACAATGACCAATACCACCTTGACTATGAGGTGTCAACTAATGAGAAACACATGATACAGAATTCTTAGAAGCTAGAAGGTAAAAGGAAGAAACCCTATGCTTCCTGTAGATACACTCTCTCCTTTTCTCTTAATAGCTGGTCCATCAGATCCATTAGGATGGTAACCCATGACAAGTGAAGATGATGGCACCTGGGGCTAGGTAACCTTTCACTGATATTCATGAGACATGAGGGAGAAACTTTAAAGGAAATACACATTCAAGGATGTAACAGTTATTGAAGCAATGTTAAGCAACTTGAGGATGCAACTGCTTCCCTTGATCTACTGATGAGCAATTAAACTTTTTATTATGTGTGTACACGGCAATGGTTGCACACATGGTAGCAATGGAAAGAAAACGTAAACATCCATTAGTGCAAAGTGCTAACCCATTTCATGAGCCATTTCCAGGAGAATTTTGCACATGACAGACAGAGTCCAAAAACTTGATGGAAAACAAAATGTGTTTAAGAGGCAAATAAACTAGATGAATGACAAGCAGAAACTGACAAATCGCTAACACAAGAAACAGTTAGCCTCCCCTGTTGAAACTGATTTATGTGCCTCTTAAAGTTCCCAGATTTTGTGCAATCCACACACTGGTCTCTGTAGGTAATTACCTCCTGGCGATATAGAAGCGCATCAGAGTTAGAAAAAGCGGCACCTTGTTTCACATTTGTTGAGTTGAATGGGTTTCAGTACCACCAGCCTGGTATTCAGAACCAAGAATATTTAAAGGATCTTCAAACATGATCCTAGTACTATCAAATGATCTTAAGAACTGTCTGCGTCTGAGCTATCTAGGAGAAAGCGAGCCTTGGAATGAGCACCCTCAAAGCCAAAAGATGCCCAAGACATCCAGCAATAGGGATAAAAAAAGTCTGTTTTAGCAGGGAAAAATAAGTGGGAAGTGTGTTGGATAGAAGGTAAAATAGAATTAAAAGGTGATGGTTCTAAAGAACACAGATTGGAAACAAATGCACTAATAAAGTTTCCTGGGGCATGAAAAGTCAGTCAGTAACAAATGAACATTTTCACTTCTGACTTTTTATGAAAAGTAAGCAAAAACATATTTGCAATTAATTTCTGATGGAGAATGAGAACAAAGAGAAAACCATGCCCATGGCCTCCTGAGTGTCTCAGGTGGGAGCTCTGAGACACAGTCTTTTCTGACTTTCTGCAAAACATTTAATACTAAATCTGAAAAAGTCCAGATGGATCCATTAAAGTCCCACAGGGATACATTCTGAAGTATGGCCAGGCAGCAAAGACCAACTATCCATTTCAGAGTGTTTTGCAAGGATTAGTCATGTTGAATTTCTGTGGCTGAATGTCTCCCACACCCCTGGACTTGTGGAATTTGAAGACATATGGAATATTTCAACCCTCACTTGGCATTTCACCTTTCACTGCAAAACATCACTAGATTATACCACGGAGACAAGCACATCATCCATTTAGGCTGGAAATGGGCATACAGAGTTTCACAGAACTCAGTCAGGAGAGAAGAAATACCCTGCAATGAGCAGGATAAGCAGTTATTTTTAAAATAGATGTTGAATTTCGGGGATGGATCTTCTTTCTGACAGCTGAGCTGACAGTTGAGGCACACAGTAAAGCTTTCTACTTACTCTCCCACCATGCCTGAGAGATATGGTCCTGAACTTGTTAATTCCCTTCCATGTACACAATGTCAGATCTAGAAGCTGGCTTCACAGTGTGAGCCATTCCTAACATTTACTAACTCAACGATCTCAACGATAGTTCTTCTCTACATTGTCCTAATCACTAGTCTTTATTATGATCTATCTATCTATCTATCTATCTATCTATCTATCTATCTATCTATCTATCTATGTTTTTGCTGTGTTTTATTGCTTGCTTAGAACTATTTACATTCTTATTTCATTCAAATACATGAAAATGAAAAAAATAAGACAACACCAATACCAAAATAAGAATTCAAAGGCCACAGCTAAAATGTATTATTCTATCAAACCTAAATTGTTATCATTCATGCTGGTGCCTTTTAATTCATATTGATTTAATGAGCAAGTCAAGGCCCCAAATGTTTGTCCCCATTAAGTCATGGAGAAACAAAGGACAATACCAAAAGTCATAATCTAGTGAAGAATAAAAAGTCTGCTTATAACATAGTGACATACATAGAAAAATAAATGCTTATACCATAGTGAAAAGTATAACAATAAAAAATATGTAGGACATAAAAGGTTAACAGTGCAGAGAGATCAGTCATGTCCCCAAGAATAAAACAAACTCAAAAGGTCAAAACCATCTTACCCCAGCTTTAGGGAATTAATAAGAGCTCATTAAGTAAGTGAGAGAGAAATTCTAGACAGAAGCAATATATATATATAAAACAGCCAGAACTGAAATTTCATAGACGTTATCAGAAACATAAATAACTCAGTACGGCTGAAATGCAAAGGAATGATAAAACCCATGACTGGGGGAGTTAGGGCCATTCCATATGGAGCCTATAAATCTATTTTCAAGTGTCTGGAATTTACTTTCTAAAATAAATACAAAAAGTGTTTGAAAGTCACATGTTCTGGTTTCTATTTTTGAATGATCTAAAGAAAACAGAGAGAAGATAAACTCAGGGGTTACTGTTAAACTTCCATGTCAAGAAGGAAAAATAAAAATGTCTGGTTTTTTATTCTGTTTGAAACCCATGAAAAATAATGAGGATGGAAACCAATAAAAACATCCTTTAGTAATCTAGATGTTTATAAGCTAAGCCACCAAATACGAAGAGTCACTAAATACAGTAAAAGCTGCACTACGTTTCAGAACAGTCATAGTTTTAATAAGCTGTAAAGACACAGCTATATTATATACCACAAGGCCAGGGCAGAAAGCCCTGCTCTGAGCTGAGATGCCCTTCTTGAGACGTTAGATCAAACTCCAGAAGAGAGTGCTGATGAAAAAAAAAAAGGATCTGAATTAATGACCCAAAGTCAACCTTCCTGCAATTATCTATCCCAAGCCAGAAGTTCTGGGAAGAACTTACACAGTGAAATTATCACAAGTAATCAAAAAGCCACCATAGCTCCAAAAAAAAAAAAAATCCAAATGTCAGCAGAGCACACTAAAAAGATGATGGCAGAATGGTTACTCAATCTGCATGACATTCGAAAATGGGGAAAGTGAACAGAGTGGTGAGTTGGGAGAGGAAACAGAGCCTTTGAGAATTACAGAAAGGAATGTATGACCAGGAAATCAATCCATGGGGACTAGAGAGAGCATAGCCTTTAACTAGTGAATCAGAGAGAGAGAGAGAGAGAGAGAGAGAGAGAGAGAGAGAGAGAGAGAGAGAGAAGAGCCTACCTGTTGCCATGGTATAGGGAAGAGTAGCATAAGAGGTAAATAAATAATTTAAAATGTCAAAACAAAAAAACTTTTAAAAGTATCCTACCATCTTACTGATAATTTTTATTTTAATTTGTATTTAAATCAGTGCAGACATAAGGATCCCAGAACAAAACATGTTTGAATCCTTAGAGCAATTCTTTAAAAGTAAATACATGTTGAAAGCAGTTTTAGGCAATATCTCTAGATGTCTTGGGGCTGAGTTTATTCTCAGTGACCATGGGATGCAGAGCCCCACTGAGCACATCTACAATGCAGCTCTTTTACCAAAGGCTCAACAATGCAACTCCTATACTGAAGGCTCAGGGAAATTGCAGAAGAGGGTCCAGAATATGCTAAGAATCACAGACCCAGAACAATTTCTGCTGGCTAGTGCCTCTAGCCATGTCAGAGGTGCTCCAGAGAAATACAGTATTGTCTTGGGTAGAGGATCATGCAATGGACCAGTACATCTTTTATTTTACTTTATATTTAAGAAAAAGAAACAGACATAGAGATCCAAAAACAGAGGATGTTTGAATTCTTAAAGCAAATTTTTAAAAAAGCAAATGTGTGCTGAAGACTGTAGGTAATAGCTCTAGACTTCTTATGGACTGCATCAAGATTTTCACCA